AGAATGACACCTGGAAGGTCGTTCAGCTGTCTGGTCTAATTAGCATATTACGCTTTTATTATTATAGATTGATAGAACTGCTAAATAAATGATCTGAACTGAGACCACTGTCAGCGTCGTTGAAAAGAATGAGTAGAGGGAGCAAGTGAAATCTTGTTCCCTGGCACATGTCGTCAGTTTGGCTCAAATAAATGCTTATAAAATTCTCACACACGCGTACAAAGAATGAGTAGATCTATGCAGGCTGAGGAAAAAGATGTTCAAGATATATTGTTTAGCAGCAGAAATGTATGCAAATATGCTTAATATTAATTTTGTTTGCAAAGTGCCCCTCCCCCACAGTATAGACACAAAGTCTGGAAGGAAAAGGGACCTTTGATATATTTCCTTATTGGTTTAACTTATTAACAAGAACATTCATATTGTACTTTAAAAATTAGTATTACTCCCTGATCGGTTTGGCTCAGTGGATAGAGCGTCGGCCTGCGGACTCAGGGGTTCCAGGTTTGATTCCGGTCAAGGGCATGTACCTTGGTTGCGGGCACATCCCCAGTGGGGACTGTGCAGGAGGCAGCTGATCGATGTTTCTCTCTCATCGATGTTTCTCTCTATCCCTCTCCCTTCCTCTCTGTAAAAAAAATAAAATATATTTTTAAAAAATTAGTATGACAATCGGCTGGTGTGGCTCAATGGTTGAGTGTCGCCCTATGACTGTTGTTTGTGTAATCATTAATAATTAAGAATTTTTATGATAAACTGGCCATATTGAGTGACAAAGAGAGTTGAGACTGAGGACCTAGGAAAGACAGGAATTCCAGGACGGGGGCTGAGTTTAGCGGGAGATGTCACCCAGGAGCTAACAATGGGACAAGTGGACTGGAGTCAAATGAAGGGGAAGGAAGAGACTAAACACCTGAGAATCTCAGAAGGCATGGCTGGTGTTTCCGCCTGTCGTGGCAGCTATATTCCCTGAAGGAGTCTGGAGTGAAAACCACAGGGGCCCTAGGACCTTGGTCAAGGCTCAGAAGGACAGGAAAGTCAGCGAGGGGACCAAGGAGTATTACAGCCAAGAAAATAAGGTATCAGAGGCGTTAAGGGAGAATTCCTAGGTGGAGAGGAGACTCATCACTTAACGGTGAGAGCAAAGGGAATGAAAGTTCAGCAAGAAGGTAGTTGGTGACCTTCAAGAGAAGTTCCTGGAAGGTACTTGAGGTGGATGCTGAATGCGAGGGAATGCACGGATGGGGGGAATGGTGGCGGCGGCTGTACACTTACTTTGAAATGGGAACAAAGGCCACAAGAGTGGTCACCTGGGGCTGGGAGCGTGGCAGGACCAGGGAAAGTGTGAGGGTCCCTGCTCTGGTCTGCAGACAGAGTAGGATGGGGGCAAGCTCTGAGGAACTCGGCGGGCGGAGGGTGGACTCGGGGAAGGACAGCAGGGCAGAGGGGCATGGGGAGTGGAAAGCGGGATGGACAGGCTGGCTTCGATTCTGCCGGTCATCTTTCACCATCTTCCAGAGTAACGGGCCAGCAAGTGATGGAAACTCTCGGGGCCTCGTTTCCCTCTGCAAAATGAGGAATTTGACTTAAGGTCTAAAACAAATAAACCAACATACCACCCAACGCTGATGCTCCAACTCAGAGCTTCTCACTTAGAGAGCTGGGCCACGGCTACAGTGCCCAGCAAACGCCCGGGGGTTGTGGGAGGTACGGGTGCCCTCACCTGGCCACAGTCCCCAGGCGCGATGCCTCTGGCCCCAGCAGCCTCTGCAATTGATTTGCCCAAGTGTGAGGCAATGGAACACAAGTGTTACGGTTTTCATGCTTCAGGCCCTGGAAAGGCTGGGGGCATTGCATACAGACGTGCAAGGACACAGGTTGAAGATTTGGGGCTTGTGGGGGTGTTGAAAGAAGGATGGGCTTCCTTTCAAATGTTACCCAAGCCCCCTCCGCCCGTTCCGGTGCCGTTTTGTTCTTAGAACACAGCTGCCTTGCAGGGGGTGGGGGAGGGTTCCTTGCTTTCGGTTCTTCTGAAGGCAGCAAGGATGAACCCAGAGGTGGCCTTCAGGGCGATTGGAACAGGATTTGGGTGACCGTTCAGATGTGTTGCTGAATGGACAGTGAGCTTCAAATGAAATGGTGCCCTTTCCTGTACAAAGATCAGAAAACCATGCACAGAAGCTGTTCGTGACGGCAGCAGCTTCCTGCCAGGGCAGGGCTGTTCACGTCCAGGCCGACCTCAGGATGGAGTCCTTGTCACATCTGCATAACTGAAGAGTATGTGGGCTCGAAAGAAGGGCTGTTTAGTTTTTTTTTCTGTAATCTGAGAGAGAGAGAGAGAGAGAGAGAGAGAGAGAGAGAGAGAGAGAGAGGGAGAGGGACAGTGATAGGTTGCTTCCCGCACATGCCCCAACTGGGAACTGAACCGGCAACCTTTTGGTGCAATGGATGATGTTCCAACCTCACCCGGCCAGAGCAGAAGGGCTGCTTAAAACAAACAAACAAACAAAAACTATTTGCAACTTCTTAGCTGAATTAAATCAAGTTTTCTCTATTCTATGCAACCAAAGCAAGACACAGAAAGAAACTGGATGCTCGGGCTGATAATAGATAAATCCATAAACTTAAAATGTTCTCTACTCACTGAAATAGTCTGTGTTCTCATGGATTTGCTTTGAAAGATATCTGAACTCATAACATATATTAATCAAATACTTTTATCGGTTTTGTAGAGCCAGAGTCCCACCTAACACTGTATCTCATAAACTGAAAACCACTGGTATAGTGTGAAGAGCACGGAGGATGCACTGAGACCCGGCCGAATCCTGGCCCAGCCACTCAGTAGCCAGTGGCTTTGGGCATGTCACATGTCATCTGCCCTCCAGGCCTCCAGGTTGGTAGCTACAAAATGGAGCCAATCGTGCCTACTTAACAGGGATTTTTATCTTATGAGAAATCATAATGAATCTAAAAGGCAATAAATATCAGTAACTAGTTCTCTCTCCCTACCCCACCCCTACTCCCAAAGTGTACAGGTAGCATTAAATGGTCCAGACCTCTCAGTCCCCCTCGTGAGCAAAGATATTATCTGCATGCCAGACAGTAGCTGGGCACTGGGCAGAGCTAAGGCCCAGGGCTAAACCACCTTGACCTTTACCATCAGCATCCTCCTGACAACAGAGCCAGCTGACACCTGGGATCCTTTAAGAGCAGTGTTAGCCATGCAACAGGCATGGGGTGGGGTATCTCTGCGTGTGAACTCATGTTTTCTTTATACAGTACCTGCTGTTTTCTCCACTCGCCTGCTATCGCTCCCCTGTGGCTGCTCCAATAGCCCAATCACAGTTACTGGAGTTGGTGAAGAATCCTGTGGAACGCGTCTCTTTAGCAGCTGGTCCGCCTCCCCGCTCCGAGGAGCGCCCTCCTTCTCCATCAGCACAAAGCAAGCAAGCGGGAGCTTGAGCTTCTTGCCACCTCACCTGGTGCCCCTGAAAGTTGCAGCCGCTTTGCAAATGCGTTTCTTGGCCCCAGAGGTTGAGGGAGGTTTGTTGAGAAGCTGGCCTTCATTTCTCACTTGTTGGAAAATGACCCAAAGCAGGAGGAGCCTGGGCAATTGTGCAAATTCCATCTGCTTAGTGAGCAGAAGCTACCAGAGCCCTCAGATGAAGTGATAAGCATTCCTGGGGGACACCGAGTTTAACAGTTTTCATTGTAACATCGCTCTGAGGCCCAGCATTCCTGCGCCACTAACCCAAAGGGGCCTGGGAGAGCCAGGCCAGTGCTCGCCAGCTGCTTGTGGGGATTCAGCTCTAGCCTTCTCTAAAGGGCAACCGTAAAGTAACCCCAATAGCTGGGGAACCTCAGCCTCCCAGCCTGTCCCAGGATAGTCCTGCTTAGAGTTCTTTGGGCATGGCAGGTTTAAAAAAAATAGTGCAGTCAAGAATTTTGTCCCTGCCAGGAATGGCCACTGGAAGTCTGGTCTGTGGACACCGGACACCAATTCTGAAAGATATTTTTGGAAGGGAGCCTGCAGCAACTCTCCTAATTTGCATTAGGAGGAAACGTGCCACATTTTCCACAGCGGGCAGCCCCGCCAACACCACTGGGAGGGAGGAAGTTCTCTCTCAGTGTCCGCAGGTTTGTCCCTAAATGCTACGGAAATAACAGCTGCTAGGCAAGAGAAGCAGAGGATGGAGAGTCTTCAAACTCTCGAATACGTTGGATATCACAGTCATGACCTAAAAAGGCAGAGACTGGCTATTCCGAGGCTCGCTGCGCATGCCGCCTGCACGCAGCAGCAGGGTATGTGGTCACTTGGCCCCTGTGTTCAAGCCCGCCAGCCCCCCGGCCTTAAACCCCAACCACCCAGTGCGGCCAGCTGCTTGTGGTTCAGGCTTGGCCGGTGACAATGGACACGTCACGTCTTACACTGCTGCACGGCTTACAGAGCATGTGCACACAACCCGGTCTTGTGTGAGCCTCACAGCTCTAGTGGTTATAATCGCCTTCACAGATCCTGAAAACTGAGGCTCAGAGGGTCGACTGGAGCAACATCAAAGTGCCGGAACCAGACCTGGAGACCAGGTGTCCGCAGGCGTCTCCCATCCCAGGCTGCTTTTGCTTCCGATGGACACATGCGAGGAGGAAAGCTCGCAGGTAAATCACCTTGCATTGCTCTCCTAGGCGGCTCATCCGGAAGTGTTTCTCTTCCCACCCTACTGAACCCTGGCTCCCCTATTAAAGCGGGGGCTGCTGAAGAGCCAGGATGGAAACGAGTAATGATCTCGAAGCCAAGCTAATGGAAGCGCTGCAAGACTTTCCAGGGCTGGAAGAAACATCAGACTCCCCCAAAGTTCAGTGCCCACCCGGTTATTAAGGAAGCGGGATTAGCTTGCTGCGCGCAGGGGAGAAATCCCGGGCAGGCCCGTGGGAAAGCGGCTGGGATTGGGACGGTAGGCGGCGGAGGGAAAGTCAACAGGATAGAAACTCAGAGCGCCAGGTTTCCAAATCAGCAGCCGAGCGCTTTATACATCGTTACAGAGGTTTCCACCTCGGCGGGACGTGCCGGGACCTCGCCGAGGGACGCATGTTTCGTGCGCGGCTTCCTGAGGCGTCAGGGAAGGGGCACAGCCTCACCGGGGAGAAGGGCAGACGCCGGGGGGGGGGGGGGGGGCCGGGGGAGCCCCAGGTTCCTGGGCTTGCTAATTCTTTCCTATAGTCCATTCTGTTTTCTGTCAACAGTAAGGAAATACATCCTAGCAAATGACAACCAGTAATGCTTTAATTAACTGCAGTATTTCATGCTCCAATATGCACCAAGAAATTACTTCCAGATGGGGGAAACGAAAGCTATTTGCACGAAACACCAATCTCTCCATTTTAAGGAAACTGGTATCGCGCACAGGTATAGAACTGTACAGAACGCCGAGGCCCGGGGCTGTCTGTGCTGACAGCCACTAGAATGAGCCTGGAGACGTCTATTTACGGCGTGAAAGGCAGCAGTACCCTCCCAGGCCTCGTTGAAGTAAGTGGCCCGATGCAGCGCTGGCTCGTTTTATTTTTAGGGGCCTCACTGGGGCGCAGACAAGCGTGAGACACTCGCTTTCACCCCCAAGCAAGCGCGGCACTTTGATTTCTCCTCCTAGGCAGGGGGATTGCACTCCCAGCTGTGAGCTTTTGGCATTTTCCCGAACATTCCATAAACAGGGAGCTAATTTTCCTTGCCCGATGGCAGCTCAGGATGAGCCGGTGGAACCTCCCTGGCACCCTGGCATCGGGCTGCAGTCTCAGACCTGTCGCTCGCCCGGGGAACTGTCACCGTGGTCACTGGCAGTGCTCTCAGTCCTGTTTGGTTACCCTGAGGAGTCACCCTCGGCGTGGGAGAGGGGGCACCCTTTTCTGGGAGGTGGGCAGGTCCCAGGACTGGTTCTTTGTCAGGAGGGGAGGAGTGCCGGCAGTCAGCCTCAATGCCACAGCTGAGCTCGGAGGTAAAACAGCCCTGTCTGTGTGGTTCCGTGTGACGACCAAACCGAACTTTCTCTAGCCTGGGCCTGGCCCAACCAGCTCTCGGGAATTCTGTCCATAACAAGAGCAGCAGCGAACTTTTTCTCAATGACAAATTACTGATATTTATTTTAACCACCTAAAGTGACTTCAAAGTTTTTTAAGGGGCTACAGAAAATCAGAGGAACGAACAGTACCTAAGTTTAGCTTAACAACAGCTAGCTACCGTTTTTACCAATGTTCGCTCCCTTATATTTGGAAGTGACAGTAACAGATAAGCTTTCTTTTGGGGTTGGCTCATCAAAACAGGAAGAATCCTCATCAGGATGGGACAGCAGTTTCTGGCATGGCCCCTCCTGTCAACACAAGTGTAAATGATACCTACTGGCTCCAGCTAAGGAACTCCACCGTGTTGGCATCAGGTCAATTGCACAGGCATCTCACTTGCCTGGAGAGCCAGGAAAATCACACGTTTATGAAAATGTGCCACCGGAACCGTTCAGTAAAGCAAGTGTCTCTACTGCAGTGGTGTACACCCGTGGCCCCTCCACAGTTACTCATGGAGAACCTCCCGGCGTCTGTGTTTGTAACACGAGCCCCAGGGATTGGGGTGCATTCCCTCAGCTGAGAAACGTGCTCTGTCCTCACAGGACGCACACGCAGCACTCCGACCCCATCAACGAGACATTTACCACACACTCCTGCTGACATCCGGGGACTCCCTGGAGATCACCAACAGCGTAATAAATCAAGAAAGCAACTTCCCTGGCTGTGACCACCAACCGGCGGAACACAGGGCTTGACATCTCAGCGCCACTACGGAGACACCCAGAAAATGACTCCCCGTGAACAAACCAGCAACAAGTGTGGATCTGCAGACACCGAGCGAGACAAGAACCAGGTGCAGCAGCTCCCCGGCTTCCCAGGTGGACGACGGACGGCTGAAGTGACTGCTGTCTGAGACGGGCCCGCTGCCCCTTCCTGCACACGCGGCAGAGAACGTGACCTCCATCAGTGCTGCCGTGGAGCTTCACCGGAGCGGCGGGCACCGCGAGACCCGCCCACTGAGCCGCACTCTTCCTATCTAGCCATCTTTTTCTAGTTGAGCTCAGCAGAGGCCACACCTCTTTCCTTCATCACTGACTTCCTTCTCGGTGTTCTCGAGTCTGAGCTGCTCAGTACGTGAAGACGCACTAGCAACAACAGCTGGAAGCGGGTGAAGAAACGAGGCACAGGATGAAAGCTGGGCCACAGGCGGAGTCTGGGCGAGAGGCTGATGGAGGGGAAGGGGCAGATGCAGTGGTTACAGTGGGAAGACAGAAGGGCAGACATAGTCAGGTTCTGGTCACATTTTCAAACCTTAACGTTTCCTATTGGACGGCTATCACAAGTTTTATGAATTTTTTTTTAAAAAATGGACTTCAGAGAGGAAGAGAGAGAGAGAGAGAGAGAGAGAGAGAAACATTAACAATGAGAAAGAATCATTGATTGGCTGCCTCCTGCATGCCCCCCACTGGGGATCAAGCCCGCAACCTGGGCATGAGCCCTGACTGGGAATCGAACCGTGAGCTCCTGGTTCATAGATCGAAGTTCAACCACTGAGCCAAGCCAGCCAGGCAGTTTCATGAATTTTTAGGAAACGTCCTCTCTCCTGAGTGCTATTTGCTGTCCCAGTTTTATCCTGGGGCCTGATGTGGACATCCTCTGTAAGAAGCTCCACTGTCCTCCTTCGCTCTCGCCCCCCCTGCCAACATCTCGTTCAGAATTCCTGAACAAACGCTGAGACGACGGTCTCTGAGGCCATGGTCACAGTCGACGGGAGGAACCAGGTGAACCTGGGCAACTCCGTTACCCTTCCTCCTGACGCGGGGTGAGGGGCAGACTGAAACAGTCCTGTGGGGCGATCCTCTCCTGCAAGCTGCGCTGGCCCAGAGCGTGGAGGGCAGGACGGTAGGGCCAGGTCAGGGTGGCCTGAGGTGGGGGTTAAGGTAAGTGTCCGCTCCTCAGGACCTGGGTCTTTCCGTTGGTCATAAAGTAACACATCACTCTGGCACTGCGCATCGCCTCTGCTGTTTTCAGGCGATCCTGCAACGTACTTTGGATTTGAACATGGAGGGGCAGGAAAGGAATTAGAGGCCGCCTGGGCTGCCCCCGAGCTTCATCTAAGGAGAAAGCCTAGGACATTTTTCTAGGAAAAAGGCCACTCCTCCCCTCGAAGTCAGGCGTAGAGTAGGAATAAAGAAACGGAGGAAATAACCTTCTGTCAAACAGTGAGTGCGCCCAGCCTGGAACTCTCTCCGTCAGACATGGGTCTGCCCCGCAGCTGGGCCAGGAGCCCAGGGCACAGAGGGCACCTGCTTCCAAGGCCGACACGTGCCGTCCTGGGTGAGAGACACAGGGGATCTTCTCGGATGCACATAGAGAGCGAGCTGGAGATGCGTGAGAAATGAGAATACAGGGAGAACCTGGCCAATCGAAAAGTACCAGAAGCAAAGTATGTACCCAAACTGGGGTTCACAGGCAAGAGCAGTCCTGCTTCCATTTCCGTCACAAAGAAAGGCCGGTTTCCTACCCAGCACCTGCCACTGCATGAACCCGGGCCCCAGAGCCCCCTCAGACAGCAGCCGACGGAGGAAGGCGGAGACCCAGGCTTGGTCACCGAAGCTGCCTGCATGGGTGCATGTGAGGAAGAGGGCCCCTGGCCAGAGGGTATGGCTGCAGAGGGAGGGAGGCTACGGAGCCTGTGACAACGGACCAGTGAGAACAGCCCAGAAACAACAGTGAAGGGCAAGGCCGCTCACCCAGCCTGCCTCTGCTGCAGGATCCAGAGCCACCAAGACTGCCTTCTGCTAACCGGGCCCTGACGGGGCTTTTCCGATTAGGACAGGAAGTAAGACAGGGCTTGGGAGACACACACTAGCAACCCAAAAGTCCCGGGAAGTTTCCAGATGGACATCTGAGAGTCCGGCTGAGCACGGGAGGGTGGGGCTCCCAGGAGCCGGGCGCTGAGGGCCGCCGGCCGGCGCCCTACAGTCTCTTTTTAATGAGCTTCTCCAGTTTGCGGATGCGAGAAGACTCCTGCTCTGGTGTGGGAGCCAGCAGGGACAGAGAGCTGGAGGCTTCGGGCCCTGCGGGCGGGGTGGGGAGCCGCTGGCGGAAGAGCTCCAGCATGCTGCTCTGCTCGCTCCTCTTCAGCCCCTGAGGTTGAAAGAGAAAGGAGGACAATGTGAGGGGCCCAGGAAGGCCCGGGGGGCAAGTGTAGCATCCGGGATGCTCGTGGCCGAGGGCTGAAAACTCCCATTCCTGGGGGCTGAGGATTTACACTTTCTTCCTAGGCAGTAGCCAGGGAGAGAAGCAGGGGATCAAAAGCAGGTACTAGGGTAGGAGAAAGAAGAGGCTGAGAGAGAAAGGACAGGTAAACAGGGAGGGGAGGTAATATCCCCCTTCAGTCCATTCCTTCCACTGAGCAGCAGTCCTCCATGGGCGTGGAGGCAATCAGGAAGGTCTTATGCCGGGATCCCTCTCCTTAAAAGGCTTCTGGGCATGTGATTTGCAGCGTGGGGCCAGGCACCGGCATTCTGAGAGAGCTCCCAGGGCCCAGTTAAGAACCACGGGGTGTGAGAAGGCTGTGCCTGTGGACCAAACATGACCCCGAACTAACCTTCATGTCCAGTATCTTCTGGAAGGTTTCTGTGTTGCAGTCTGTAAGGAGTTTGATGTAGTTGTCAACAAACACCACCGAGGGTTCATGAGGGGCCATCACTACCTACGAGGGAGAGACAAGAGCAGGTTCTCAGGGAAAGCTCAGGCCAGAGGGCAAGTCTCACTTGCAAGCCGACCACAAAGTGGACTCTGCAAGATATCCTTACAGCAGCAGCAGCCTCAATGCAGAAACGTCCTGATGGCCTATTTCACCTCAACATGCTAGAGCCATGTTTCCTAAAGGTGCTGAGTCATAAACACCTAGACTGCTCTTTTTAAAAATAATATATTTTGTTAATTGATTTCAGAGAGGAAGGGAGAGGGAGAGAGAGAGAAACATCAATGATGAGAGAGAATCATTGATTGGCTGCTTCCTGCACGTCCCACACTGGGGATCGAGCCCAAAACCGGGCATGTGCCCAGACCGGGAATCGAGCCATGATCTGGTTCACAGGCCGATGTTCAACCACGCCGGCTGTGCTTAAAAAAAAAAAAAAAATATATATATATATATATATATATATATATAGAGAGAGAGAGAGAGAGAGAGAGAGAGAGAGAGAGAGAGAGAGAGACAGACACTTCAGAGAGAAAAGGAGAGGGAGTGAGAGATAGAAACATCAACGATGAGAGAGAATCACTGATCGGCTGCCTCCTGCACCCCCGCTACTGGGAATCGGGCCTGCAACCTGGGCATATGCTCTTGATCAGAATCCAACCCGGGACCCTTGAGTCCGCAGGCCGACGCTCTATTCACTGAGCCAAACCGACTAGGGCTAGACGGCTTTTTAAGTGCAGATCCCTAAGCCCCTCCTCTGAAGATTCTGAGGGCCGGGGTTGGGTCCCAGATGATGTTTGTAAATGTCAGGACCATCTGGGAAACACTGTGCTAGAGGATCTCCTATTTGAGATAGTTTGTGGTTTTGTGGTACCTGCTCGTTTTGTCTTGACATATCATTGTTCCTGAGGACTGGAAACAAAAGGCACTGACTTAAGTAGATTTTCTCAAAATCAAAAACCCCAAAGCTGCCTCACTCTTTTCAAGACTTAAATCTGGAACTTCATTTAACTGCATCCGAGTAATATACAAGCCGAAGGGAAGTAATGGCATCCCAGTCCTCGCATTCGTTTCCACTTGGTTTTAAACGCAGTGTCTGGCTCTCTTCCTCCAGCAGACTGGCTTTGTTTTGAATTCCTGAGCATGGAACTCAGAGTGGCAAGGAGTAGTTCACTCAGAAATTCTCTGCAGAAATGTCTAAATGTCATTCCTCCATTTCAAAGTACAAAATTCATGAAGCAAAGATAAAGTCACATTTTTTTAATAAACATGAAACTTGAATGACTCTCTTTTTTAGCCATTAAAATATACTCAAGATTGTTTTTCTGTCAGGGAATAAAATCACAATTGTTTCAGCATGTGTTCGCTCTCACGCTAATCTGGGGAAACTGGTGTTCATTATTTTATAAATATTTGTACCTAAGGTACAAATTCACTAAGGGTGATATTTTATTATACTTAGGAAACATGGAGAAAATATATGTTATTTGCAAAAAGCTAAAAAAATTAAAAGGAGAAAGAAATCCTCAGCAGATAATTTGCAAACTCTGCTCTGCCCCCTGGGAGTGAACTGGCTGCAGGAGACTGCTGATCAGGCTGCCTCCCATTTCCTCGGGCCAGAAGCTGCAGGTCCGTGCAGGACCCTCTCCTGGTCACCTCCTGTCTCAGGTCCCACTGCTCCTTTTCCTCCCGCTGTCATCGGAGTCATTCTGTTTGGGAGACAGACCTGGAGAGCCTGCAGGCCCTGGAATTTTAGGAGCATTCCCTGATAGTTCCATTTGTTCTATAGCTTTCTTCCCTCTCTTCTCAACAAGTACAGGTGAAAATCTGATGCAGATGCTTAAAGCTTCAGCCATTCGCAACATCACCCCACATATAATATTTTGTTAAATGGGGCTTTAGAAAGCCCATTCGCTGATTAGTCAGTTACTGAAACATCTGTTCAGAGTTCTTGTCAAGTTGCAGAGTTTGGAAGCCAAAGGGCTTATGTGAAAGGGAGTAACTGAGAGTTGGGCTGGAAATTCCTGCTGAGCAGCAAAGAGACCCCTGACTTAGACACTGATTCTCAGACACCCACCTAACTTCCAATCTTGGCCAAATCTTACTACAAGGGAATCCCATTACAATGAAGAATTCATTTGTCAGGAAGATTTACTGACCCCCAAGGAACTGTCCACTGATTTTCAACAATGTCTGATGAGGCCAAATCCTAGTCCCGCCAAAGAATGTGGACAATCCTTTGGGACTGGCGGGGATAGGCGCTGATCCGTGCTTTCAAAACCAGTCCTCCTTGGAATAAGCAATCAGGCAACCAGCCCTCTTTGACAAGGAGACACAGGCCCTACCTTGAGGATCATCTCCGCCCGGGTCATGCCTTTCACAACAATCTTAGTGTAACTGGCAGGCGCTTTCCTCACCACCTGGGAGCCAATGGAAGGCAGATCAAGCAGGACCATCTTCAGGGAATGGGTGTCCAGCAGCAGCTGTGGGAGCAAAGCAGAATATTACTAGTCACTTCCCATGGACAACAACATCCTGTGTACCCATGCTGATTAATAACATTGTCCTGATTTTAAATGTAATAATCCTCGCTGGAGAAAAGTTGGAAAATAAACAAATATAAAAGAAAACACATTAGTTGTAACTCCCATTACCCAGGAAAAAAGTAACAAGAAGCCACAGTAACAATGTGGTATGATTCCTACCAGTCTGTATGGATGTATAAAAAAACTAAAATTACACTGTACATAGTTTTATGATCTGTTTTTTCCACTCAGTATATGAAGTTTTTGAATTCTATTTTCCCATCTTAGCAGTCTTTAAATATCGTGATTTGTAAGGGTTATAGAGTACTTTCTCTGTGTGTAACTTTAACATATTTAACCATTCCCCTATAATTTGTTTCTAGATTTTTATTATAAATAATGAATGCTGTGCTGAATCGCTTTTTACATAAAATTCCAGGTCTATCAATCGCATTTCCTTAGGCGAGAGTCTTTGGGACAGATCAAAGGACAAGAACATTTTTGAGGTTCTTGATACATATCTTGAACTGCTTTCCAAATGGAATGTACCTGTTTACATCTGCCAGTGGTGCAGACTCACCCTCCCTGGCACAGAAAACTCATAAAAGTCTTGCTTATTCAACAGGCAAAAACGGTACTCAGTATTGCTGTATTTTGAATTTCTCTGAACGCTAGTGAGGATGTAGGAGATAAAGCCAAATTTAAATATTAGTCTCTTAGAACAATCTGCCCTTTGTTATTGTTGTTCTCCTTAATGCTAACTATTTGGAAGGAGGTCAACTTTCCTGATTGCCCACCAACTGCCAGGAAAGATGCTAGGAATGTCTTTATAAGACCCTGACCTGTAGGTATTTACTATTCCCATTTTATAGATAAGAAAATCAAAGGCCCAGAGGTTAAATAATTTGCTAAAAGTATCTCGAAGGATGGGTGGGGTCAGGTGACAGGTGGACAGGCTGTAGCTCCCTCCCCAGCTGCCTAGGTTAGGTGCCTCAGGGCAGCGTTGGCTTCGACCTCATACTGTTTCCTGCTGATGGCGGGTGTATTGCTCACATGCTGCTGCTCTTGACAACCAGGGGGCACTGGTATGGCTGAAGCCTAATACACTGTGGCCTGTTCAGATAGTCTAGGACAGTGGCCGGCAAACCACAACTCATGAGCCACATGCGGCTCTTTGGCCCCTTGAGTGTGGCTCTTCCACAAAATACCACGTGCGAGCACGCACGTACAGTGCGATTGAAACTTTGTGGCCCGTGCGCAGAAGTCGGCATTTTGTGGAAGAGCTGGTATTTTGTGGAAGAGCCACACTCAAGGGGCCAAAGAGCTGCATGTGGCTCGCGAGCCACGGTTTGCCAAGCTGCAGTTTGCTGACCACTGGTCTAGGAGAATGGAATCACATGCCCACCAACCAGACAAGGTAGCAGTGGGGTGACAGTCCCATCACCACCACCACCACTCTGATGGCCAATCTTATGTTCAGGACAAGGCTTGCTCTATCTGCACTGCTGGCTCCTCTAGGAAAGCCTTGCATAGCAATATCAAGCAGGGATGAAAAGGGACCCCTGGGCGTTAGGACACTCACAGGTGCTCCTTCTCCCTGCATTTTCTTACAGACGGGAGAACTAATGACTAAAGGTAGACACTATGAATGGTCATGGTGATTATAATTTTGATAATAGTATAAAATTTGGAGAACATATTAATGTTTTACTTGGAATAACTTAAATGGAAATATTATTCTCAAAATATGGTGATGTATTGACAAACTGATTCTGAAGTTTATATGGAGATACAAAAGACCCCAAAACCCAATACAATATTGAAGGAGAAGAACAAAGTTGGAGAACTGACATTACCCTGACTTCAAGACTTTTTATAAAGGTACAGTAGTTAAGACAGTATGTTATTGGTGCAAGAATAGACAAACAGATCAACAGAGCAGAACAGAGAGCCCAGAAACAGACCCCGCTAATATAGTCAGCTAATCGTTCACAAAGGAGCAAGGCAAGACAGTCTTTCCAGCAAATGCTCCAGGAACAACTGGACAACTACATGCAAAAAAATAAAAAATAAATAAAAAAGAAGAGATCTTACACCCTTCACAAAAATTAATTCAAAGTGGATCACAGAGGAGAAAACCTAGATGTCCTTGGGTATGGTGATGACTTTTTATTTATTTATTTATTTATTTATTTAAATATATTTTATTGATTTTTTTACAGAGAGGAAGGGAGAGAGATAGAGTTAGAAACATCGATGAGAGAGAAACATCGATCAGCTGCCTCCTGCACATCTCTTACTGGGGATGTGCCCGCAACCCAGGTACATGCCCTTGACCAGAATCGAACCCGGGACCTTTCAGTCCGCAGGCCGACGTTCTATCCACTGAGCCAAACCGGTTTCAGCTGGTGATGACTTTTTAGATATAACCTCAAAGCCATGACCCATGAAAGAAATAACTGATAGGCTGGACTTCACTAAAATGAAGAAGTTATCCTCTGCAAAAGACACTGTTGAGGGCATGAGAAGGCGAGCTACGGACTGGGGACACATCTGCAAAAGGCACATCTGAAACAGGACTGTTACTCAGCGATCCTGCTCCTAGGGAAAGACTCAAAGGAGGGGAAAACTTATGTCCCCACAAAATCTGCACACAGAGATTTTTAATAGCTTTATTCATAACTGCCAGAACCAAGATGTCCTTCAGTAGCTGAATGGATAGATTGTGGTACATCCAGAAAACAGAGTATTATTCTGCTCTTTAAAAAGCAGTGCAGTCATGAAAAGACATGGAGGAATCTTAAATGCATGCCGCTAAATGAAAGAAGCCAGTCTGAAAAGGGTACATACTGTAGGATTCCAACTATGACACCCTGGAAAAGGCAAAACTATGGAGACAGTAAAAAGATGAGTGGTTGCCAGGAGTTGGGGCTGGTGGGTGAGACAAACAGGTGGAGCAGAGGGGATGTTGAGAGCAGTGAAGCTGCCCTGTACGATGCTATAATGGTGGCTACATCATTATACATTTGTCCAAACTCATAGAATGTACAACACGAAGTGTGGACCCTAATGTAAACTACAGACTCTGCGTTAATAATGATGTTTCCAGGTAGGCTCATCAATCGCAACAAATGCACCACTCTGCTGAGGACGCTGATAATGGAAGAGGCTGTGTGGGGGCAGAGGGCATATGGAACTCTCTACCTGCCCCTCAATTTAGCTGTGAACCTTAAACTTCTGTAAAAAAAAAAAAGCCTCAATTTTAAAAAATGGTGAGGAAGATACACTAAAGGAAGAACAATTTCACGTAGTAATGTGGCCAATGCCCTAAACTCTGGAGGTCATTCAACTGCAGACCAGGAAAGTGCTAGGGCATTTGGATTTTTCTAGGCTTCCAGATATGGAAATTCTTACTTTCCTAGTATTTGCTTTTTGAAAAGGCCGTAGGCCCACAGAGAAAGGTACTCAAGTATGCAGAGGGGAGATGAGTGTAGGCTGCCCGAGGCCCACACAAAGAGCTCAACATTAGAACACTTCCCAGAGCCACTCTCTTCTTCAGAGGTAGGTGTACATGCCTCTAAAGAAGGAGTAAGCCTGGCCAGCATGGGTCAGTGGTTGAGTGTCAATCTATGAACCAGGTCATGGTTTGATTCCCAGTCAGGGCACATGCCCAGGTTGCAGGCTCAATCCCCAGTGTGGGGCGTGCAGGAGGCAGCCAATCAATGATTCTCTCTCATCATTGATGTTTCTCTCTCTCTTCCTCTCTGAAATCAATAAAAATATACTAAAAAAAGAAGAGAAAAGAATGAGTAAGCTAAATTCCAGGTAGATCAAGCACCCAGATATAAAAAGACAAACTTTAAGAAGAAAATAAAGATTATTTTTATTACTATGGGTAGAGAAGAATGTGAAACAAAGGAAAGACAGAAAAATCTACTTAAAATAAGTCTGTATCAAAATAAAGTAAAAGCAGAAACTGGGAGACAGTATCTGCAATACTGACAAAGAAATAATATTCAAGACACACACAGATTTTAGTAAACCCATAAAATATCAGCAAACCCCAAAGCAACAGTAACAACAATAATGGGACAAAGATCTGAAGAGACAATTCACAAAAACAGAAACTCAGGTGTTCACAAGGCATGTGAAATAATAGTTAACCTTATCAATAACCCAGTAAGTGCAAATTAAAACCACAATTGTATACCATTTCATACTCATCAGATAGGCAAAAGTAAACGGTTGATAATACCAAGTGTTGGCATGGATATAGTGTAAGAAAATTCATACTACAGTGAGAGTATAAATTAATTAAAGCACTTAGGGTAAAATTCAGTAATACACACACACAATTTGAAGTTGTGCATAACCCACAACACAGCACCCATATCCTTTAGAGAAATTCTTGCCCATGTTAAAAAATGTTTCCTGCATCCACTGTTTGTAAAAGCAAAAGACTGTAATAACCTAAAAATATCCATCAACAGTAGAATGGATAAACAAATGGTGGCACATTCATGCAATGGAATGATACCGGAATTAAAATGAATGAACTCAAACAACATATATCAACATGGTTAAACCTCAAAAAACATTATGTTGGGCAAAACAAAGCAAGTGGGGAAATGATATACAAAGTACCATTTTTATAAAGTTCAAATATATGTAAAACAAAATTAAATATCATTTGTGAATATATATGTAACATATCAAAACACATATGGGAATGATAAAAATCAAAATCAGAAGAGTAGTTACCTCTAGGTATGCAGGGAGGGGAATGGCAGGATAGGGTCCCAGGGGGCTTCAGCAATAACTGTGGTGATTTTACTTTATATAAAACAAATCTGGAGCAAATGTGGAAGCGTATTAAGATTTGACTGAGTGGTGAGCTGGTATGCTTGACATTTTCTATACTTTTGTTAACTGAAAATATTTCTTTTGTTGATAGGAAA